AGGACATGACTCAGTTTGTGTGCACATTTTGTAAACATTCCCTACCTAAAATTCATGCACACAAATGGGGGAAGCAAGGAGCTTTTCCTGCTAAGAGAGAGAAAATCAGAAGTCAGATTTAAAAAAAAGAATTAGAAAAAAAATCCAGGCTTGAAGAGGTTTTACTTTTTCTGTCTCATAATGTTTGTGCTTACCAAATTGGCAATATTATGGTGCTCCTGGGTTGCTGCTTTATATAAGAGACACTGTAAATGCCCTAGTCAAGCAGCAGCAAAACCCCAAAACAAACAAACAAACAAACTCTAAGAGGTTATCAGGAGCCAGGGAATGTAGATTATACAATATTAGGATTTTTTTCCCTAATATTTGCTGCCTTCTACAATATCCTGTAAATGCTAAGACTTTGTTTAAATACAACTGTTTTATAAGTTTGTAGCAACCCAAGCATAAACATATGCTGTGCAACTGTTCTGCATAAAACTGGCCACAATTTAGCAAAATGTAAGCATGTGACTGCCTTAGATTTAACACTGAAGTCATTTGGACACCCAAAATTAGCATACACTTGTGACAGTCTTGGCCTTCCTCTGTGTATTCCTTCTTTTCTCATCACACAAATACAGATTATATTTTCCTGTCTCACAAGAGAATTGTGAAGATGGAGAAATAATTAATATTAATGAATATCTCATTTATTTATTTTTTATTGAGAACCATCCAGAAGCCCAGAATAATTAAATCTATATTAAGTGCAGTTTTGGAAAGTGTGCAGTAAATAAGGCAGGAGGCACTAACTGAACAATGAGGATTGAATTTCCTTGGTCTCACCTTATGCACTGAATGAGGAAGGGATTCTGTAGAAGAAATAGTACATCATGCAATTAATTATAGACTTTATGCACAATTAAATACTATAAGACACATAGTAACAAGAGGGCAGAATTAAAGTTGCACAAACAACCTTAATTCTATCCTTTCCTAATTTTTTGTGCTCAACTTTGCAACCTTATTTACGTTTTTGTGTTATGGTTTAGAGCTATGATGTACACATGTTAGGGGTTGAATTAAGTTACTGTAGAAAAGCCATACTCTGCTCCTGGCCCCATCAGCTCCTTCAGAATCTTAAATTTTTATTTACACTATTTTTGAAGTTTGTACGTCTTTGCATTCATATGGATATATTTGCAATCAAACTGACACAATGTTCAAGTCATAGTAACAGACTGCAGTAAATTTGCCTTAACTCCACAGCAGGCCCTAAAACCACTGGAATGTATAGGATTGGTGCTGGGAAGGATTCTACAAGGGGACTCTCCATACAGACATGAGTTATTAACATAGTGTGGGAAGTAGCCTGTGGAGTTGCAATTATGTGGGCTCATGATGTAACCCCCCTGTTCAGGAATACACAGAGAATCATTTGCTACTGTACAATCCATAGCCTGTAGTAAAATCATCAAAATGGCTTCAAAACCACTGGGTTGGAAGGAGAATTCCTTTTCTCTCAGCACTTCTTGGTCCTCACCCCTCCTTTCTCCATGTTGCTTAGGGAGCAACATTTGCTCCTAAGAGGGCAAACTGACCCCATTTTGACCCAAGTGGGTCTTAACAGTGAATTGCCTCCGCTTTAATGACAACTTTAACTATATCACTGTTAAATACTTTAGCAATCATAGGGTGCATCTACACTGCACCGTAACTCGAAATAAGATACACAATTTGAGCTGAAAAATTTCGATGCTATTTCAAATAGCTCATTTTGTCATTTGGCACTGTCTACACAGCATCAAATTCTGAAATAAAGCGCTATTCTGAAATGTCCCTTACTCCTCATGGAATGAGGTTTTAAGGGACATTGGAATAGAGCCTGAAATAATGGGCTTGATGTGAAGACATGGGATAGCTATTTTGGGATACTCTATTATCCCAAAATAGTGTTGCAGTATAGATGTACCCATATTGAACTACTCCAGGATTATGGATATAGTTTGGGATTGTAAGGATAGAAATGTGAGCAGAGCACCAGTATCTTTTGCCTTTCCTTGGGAATTTTTAAAGATGACAGAGTCAACTACATAAAAGAAAAGAACACTATACAATCTTAAGCTGATCCATACTTTGTTTTTCAATAATGCAGATTTTTCTGTACAAAATTTTCCTGCTTACAGGAAAGTCATTACTAACAAAGTAATGTCACATCTGAGGTAATATGCTGCCACATCAATCGTAACATTGATTTACATATTGTCTGTTGCTCAGTGGCAATTTTGGCACAAGGCAGTGCATCCACATTTCTTCTTGGACATGCACACTTTCATTTACAAGAAAGAAAAAATATTGTAGCCTGAGAATAGCATTGGTAAAATAAAAATAAGTTACTCTAGTAATTTACTAGTATGTTATGACACTTGTAATCAGTCTGAACTGGTCATGTTTAATTATTATCTGGAATCCAATATCTACATCTGTTATAATATGGTTATCATATGGTTATGATAGATAATGTGATTACTTGGAAACTGGAAGAAATACTCAAATGTATTGCTAAAAGCCTCACTTCTCACAAAGGGTGAAATTCACACCTTTTGCAAGGAGACAGCAAAGATGCCTATGTTCCAGTCAAGTCCTTCTAAAGCCCTTATAGTGGTCCTCTACATGGGGGTAAATTGTACACAATGGTCTGGGTCTGATTCCATTCTCACTGAGGTCACGTCATTGACTGTAAGAGGAACAAGATCGGTTGTTTACACAGGAATTCAACACAGACATTTTTGTGAATAATTACAGTTGACTAGGTAAGAAAATATTTTTCCACTAGCTAGAAGGTACCACTATATTTTAGCATCTGAATTCCAACTGAGTCTTCTGGAACATCCCTATTTTGATACATTGTCTTCAGCGTCTTTGAATAATAAAACAGAATGTAGCGGCTAAATAGCTGAAAACATGCATGGTACTTCAGACAGGCCAGTTTTCAAATTTGGGTGCTAACAGTGGTGCTTAAAAATGTCTCAAATAAATACTGATGTGCCTGTGTGCTGACCTGAACATCCAAATGCAGAACTGGAGGCCTACATTAGACGCAAAACTTCAAAACTGGCTCCAGAAGTATAAAAATCTGTGATTTTAAAATATCATTTAGGCTATGGCTTACAGCTGCTTATGTGATGTTAAATTTTGTTTGCTACTAAACATCTTTAAAAACCTGTTCTGATATACTTGATATCCTCCCAGGCCTTGTCTACAGTGGAGATGACAGTGGTTACTGTCATGAGTGGCTAATAACTGCTATATTTATCCTAATGTAGTGGTTTGAAACATTTTTTTCTTGAAAATTTCTGAGAGTCTCAATAGACCATTTAATAATCTTTCCAAATGTTCTTCCCAGGCTGTGGCAGCCCCTCCAACTCCTGAGCAGGGGCTGGGAAGGAGGGGGGTCTTTCCCCCACCATAACAGCTACAAAGCTGAGGCCTGGAAAGGAGGACCATTTCTCCCCAGCAGCTGTTGGAACTAGGAAAAGTAACTTCTTTCTCTGGCCTCCGCAGCCCTGCACATTCCAAATTTTCTCCACCCCTCTTATCACTGCACTGCCCCCACATACTTCCTATTTCCCCAACCTCTCCCCCACCCTCTATTCCCCCCCAAGGCCACCACCTCATATGTGCATCTTCTCCAGGGTCCAGGCACCTAATTAGTGGAGCCAGGCTTACATGAACCCACTGATTAGGTGGGCTGCCCTTTATTCTCTCATGTGCAGCCACTCAGGCGCATACCTTAGAGCAGTGGCTCTCAAAGTGGGGTCTGCGGTCTATACCTTGCAGGTGGTCTGTGGCTCAAACTCACCTCCCTCCCCCTTCAATCTGGCAAGGGAGGGAGCCGTGAGGCTGGAGCACCAGCACCAGCTTTCTGCTGGCTTGGAGTGGGGAAGGGGTGGGGAAGAAAGCCCCAGGCCTCACTGCGTGATCTGACTCGTGGGGAAGAAGTGGAACCAAAAGCGGCTTTGCGCACTGACACTCCCCCTCCCCCGGCTGGGGAAACAGCAGTGTACAAACATGCTGATGGAGGCTTTCCCTGCTGCTCCCATTGATCAGAATCACGGTTAATGGGAGCAGCGGGAAGCTATACCTGGGACCTGGTTCCTGGGAGTGGCAGAGGTCACAAAGTCAGGTAAGTGCCCTCCCTTCCCCTCATGCCCAGAACCTGCACTCTCAGCCCCCTCATGCATCCCCCTGCCAAGACCATGAACTTTCAGCCTACTCCTGCATCCTCCCTGCTGGCCAGACACCTACCTGCACCCTCTCCCCTGGTCAGATATCCTACACCCAGCCCACTCCTGCACCCTACCCTCTGGCCAGACACCTCTCCCCAGCCTGCTCCTGCCTCCTCCCACGGACAGACACCTATCCCCAGAGAGGGAAGAGTTGGTGAGCGTTCTTGACTGTCCCCTCCCAGCCAAACACCTGACATTCAACCTATTCCTGCATGCTCCATTGTTCCTAAAATCTCCTTCCTGGCCAGGCTTTGCACCCTCCCTTGCTTCTGCATGCCACCTCCCACCCAGACCTTTTACCCTCACCCACTCCTGCATCCCACCTCTGACCCAGATTCTGCACCCCCCATTCCTATCCTACTCACTGGCAGCCTTGTCCCACATACTGAACCACTAATTTTGGCCCCATCCCAGAGCCTTGGGGGTCCACAAAACCCACTAACCCTGGAATCCCAGAAGAATTAATTAGGCCTATGGGAAGATCTGAACCTCAATCCAACCATTCCCTCTCTTCAATGTAGGCAAGACCAGAAAAGCTACAAATAACATTTCATTTTCTACATGTTGTTTCTATGTTTGTCATTAATTATTCATACTTTTGTATTTTCAACAGATCCTGATACTAATAAGTACAAAGTAATATTAATTATTATGACATAAGTCATTTTACTTTAAAGACTTGCTTACTTGTAAAAAAAAAAAGCATAATCAATGAAGCTGGCACAGTTTTAGAAATAGGTTTTATTATAATTAAGTTGAGCTCCCTACATTAGGGTGACCTAGTGTAAGAAAGCAATATTTAAAAGAAAAATCTCAGCATCAGAATGTTGCAGTTTGAGTCAGTGTATATATATTAAACCCAGAGGCTATTTCCCACCAGATTATACATTTATAAGTCAATTTTAATTGCTTAGACTACAATAAAAATGTGACAAGTTCCCTTTTTAAACTAAACAGAGTAAAATCTTAGGGAAAAAAAACTTCCTGAAAATCTGCTGAACAACAATGTGCTATAGTTAAGTAGAGCCTTCCATAACTAGTATCTCAGAGTGCTGTATATAAGTAATATAAAACTCCATAAATTATGTTTATTCTTGTATATTATTATGTATTCAAAATGAACATACAAACATTTAATGATAATTTTAGAACATTACAGGTTATTACTGTCACAGTACAAAACTTTAGCAGTAGAGGCACATGGCTTTGTGTATCACTTTAACCCTTACTATTACAATTGGAAAGTTGGGTCAAGGATATATTGTTTTCTCTGGCTCCCACTTGTATTTTCTCTTTTCACAAGAGTGATACCGATCATAGGTGGTTACCTTTTTTTTACATGATGCTGTCCTCCACAAAGTGGGCAGTTAATGGCACCAGGGTCTGCTGGCTCCCTATATCCTTAGTAGCTGTGAACTGACATCTCTGGGTGATGTTACCCAATGAATTGTTTTTACAGGGACTAGTGGACTATTTGATGAAAAATTTAATTCTGTTTCAGATTACCCAAATTTTAGTTGTGTTGATTGATACACGACAAAGAGGAAATGCCATTCAAAGCAATAAATCCAAAAGATCTGAAGTTCTACATAGGCTAACCAAAACTTTGCACATGTAGAAGAGTAATCACTGATGAGAGCTGTAACTTGTGACTAATCAGCTTTACTGATGTTTTATGTCAATTGAAACTCCAGGGAAGATACTCCTCCCAATGATGCTCACAATTTAACATCATTCAAGATTAATCATTATCATAGATGCAACCTGAATGGGAAAGAAAATTCAAAAATATTAGGATTGTAAAATAATTCACTACTAGCATACTTTTAAAAAGGTATTTATTTCGGTTACATTACATGTAATAATTAAGATAGTTAGAAATGTGCAACCTACCATCAGCAATATCATCATAGATTTCTCCATCACTGTAAATGTAGAAAGAGAAAAATGTTTTATCTTAAAAAAAAAACCTCTTAAAATTGTCATTTGCAAGTAGATACAAACTCATGCAGCATGGTCTAGACACATATCAAGTAACTAAACACAACTAGTTAAAGAAACAAAAAGGAAAATTCTGAAATCAAGACAGCCAGAGAGGACAATGTGATCAAGCAAATTGAACGTAAAGAACAGACAACGGCAACATTTTTTGGAAAATGGCCTTTTTGAAAAATAATAATTTAAGAAAACATGATTTAAAAAACTGCTTTTACAAAATGGTATTTGAAATTAAACAATCATTAATATATATATTTTTAACGAATAAATGAAAACAGTAGCAGAGGGGATCATCACATCCTTAACCTTTCTCAAAAGATGCTCAGCAATATAATAATGGGACTGGAGAAAGCAAATACTAGACAACACATTTAGCTAATGCCCATCTACAAATAATACATACTCTCCAAAGGGTATATTTTCAAAACAAGTTATTTACATATGCACTTATTCATGTAACCAAATAGTCCCATTATCTTTAACGGAACAACTCACATATTTAAAGTTAACTGCCTTATAAGCGTTAGGAGTGAGGCCTAAATCTGTCATCTAATTAGGTGTTTAAGGACCTGATAGCAACACCACTGACGTCAATGGAAAGACTCTCATTGGCTTTAATGGGCTTTGGATCAGACCCTACATGCTGAAATCACTACAACTAGACTGAGTACATGTTGGACCTCGCTGGTTGGGCACCCTTGGGACCTAACTGGTACCAAACAAGGAGATGTGCCGGACCAGGGGAAATCCCTCCTCTCCTGACCCAGGCTGCCACTGGCTTAGGGTGCTAGCCTGCCCGTGCTGCTGCCCCTGCTCCCCGGGGCTCTCTAGATGCTGCCGGTCCCATTGCTACCGGGGCCGGAGCACCATGGCCAGAGCCCCGCAGCTAGAACAGAGCTCCAGAGCCACCTGGCTCCATGGCTGGGACTTGAGCTGTGCAACCAGGGCTGGAATTCCTCAGGCTGGGACCAAACCTCCCTGGCCACCACTAGGGTTGGAGCTCCACAGCTGCCGCTGGAGCCAGAACACCCCGTTGTGCCCCACCTCACACACACATACACACAGGAGCTTCCAGCTGAGTTGTCGGTGCCCCCTATGGCACTCTGTCCCGCGGCCTGACCTCCCTGTTCCAGGGAACACCTGGGGTTGGTGCTGAGCCACGGATGTTGCCGGATCACAGAGCCCAGGAACAGGGAGGTACAACTTGTATTGAGAGTAGAAATACTAAGCCAAATTCTGCTTTGTGTCATATCTGTGCAGCTCCAATAAGATTACACAGGAGATAACTAGAGGAGAAATTGGTCTAATATATTTAAACGTATGAAATTGCCATAGTTTTAATTAAATTAATGTGCAATTAAATCATGGTTATCATACACAAATTATAGATTAAGGCATGTGTTTTGTGTGTAATTTTTCAATGGTTAGTCCTAAATTTCTTGATCAGTAATACAGGAGTAGTTCCACAGGTAATTTCAAACACAAAATGTAAGTGACAGCTGCTTAAGAAGGATAAGCTTCCTAAGTAATTTAGCAATAAATTCCTATAACAACATATTTTATGTTAATTTTTAGTTGTGCAATGAGTAGTTAACAGCAAAACTGAACATGTTATGACAAATTTCCAGAAGATTATTTTGTACTTACTTCTCCACTAAATTGCTTCTTAGGACATATCCATCTGTAAAATTAAATATATATTTAATTTCAATTTACATTTACATTATATATCTTGTGTTCTCAGATAAAGCCATCTGGGATACAGAAGGCATTTTTAATAATATCCATTGTACACTAGAGAGGAAGATGTGGTAGTCATGGAGAGTTTACACACATCATAAATTAATCATTTTAAATTCATTTCAGTATAATTAATAATTATTTTTATGAGGAGGAAGAGTAATTAAATCATGGTAGCACCAAGAGGTTCCAATCAGAAATCAAGAATCCATTGTACTATACACATGAACTGTGTTTTTTTCATGTCAATATAATGAATTTCTACTGCTCAGATTCCCAGTGTCATGGGGAATAGAAGGGAAATCAAGATATACAGGATCAGGTAGATTTTATTTTTAAAATGTTTATTTCTTGGTTACTTAGCAGATGTATGAATCAATGTCAGATTTCACAAGTTTTAACAGAAGTTACAAAATGTGTCTTGAAACCAAATAGCTTTTTCTTATATGTTTAAAAAAAGACTTAATACTAGTCTCAGAGCTTAATCCACAGAGCATAGACTCATAGACTCATAAACTTTAAGGTCAGAAGGGACCATTATGATCATCTAGTCTGACCCCCTGCACAGTGCAGGCCACATAATCTCACCCACCCCTCCTAGAATAATCCTCTCACCTATATCTCAGATATTGAAGCCTTCAAATACTTTGAAGACCCCAAGATGCAGAGAATCCTCTAGCTGTGATCTATACCCCATGCTACAGAGGAAGGCGAAAAACCTCCAGGGCCTCTGCCAATCTACCCTGGAGGAAAATTCCTTCCCGACCCCAAATATGGCGATCAGCTAAACCCTGAGCATGTGGGCAAGACTCACCAGCCAGACACCCAGAAAGTTCCCTATAGCAACTCCTATCATCCCTCCATTGACCTATTTCCAACTGGAAATGAATGGTCAATTAGTTACCAAGATCATGTTATTTCATCCAACCATCCCCTTATCATAGAATCAGAACTGGAAGAGACCTCAGAAGGTCGTCAAGTCCAGCCCTCCGCTCTAGGCAGGACCAATCCCATCTAAATCAACCCGGCCAGGGCTTTGTCAAGCCGAGACTTAAACACCTCTAGGGATGGAGACTCCACTACTTCCCTAGGTAACCCATTCCAATGCTTCACTACCCTCCTAGTAAAATAGTTTTTCCTAATATCCAATCTGGCCCTCTCCCACCACAACTTGAGACCATTGCTCCTTGTTCTGCCATCTGTCACTACTGAGAACAGCCTCTCTCCATCCTCTTTGGAACCTCCCTTCAGGAAGTTGAAGGCTGCTATCAAGTCCCCCCTCACTCTTCGCTTCTGCAGACTAAACAGACCCAAGTCCCTCAGCCTCTCCTCGTAGGTCATATGCTCCAGACCCCTAATCATTTTGGTTGCCCTCCGCTGGACCCTCTCCAATGCGTCCGCATCCTTTTTGTAGTGGGGGGCCCAGAACTGGACACAGTACTCCAGATGTGGCCTCACCAAAGCCGAATAAAGGGGAATAATGACATCTCTGGATCTGCTGGCAATGCTCCTCTTAATGCATCCTAATATGCCATTAGCCTTCTTGGCTACAAGGGCACACTGTTGACTCATATCTAGCTTCTCATCCACTGTAACCCCCAGGTCCTTTTCTGCAGAACTACTACTTAACTGGTTGGTCCCCAGCCTGTAACTATGCTTGGGATTCTTCCGTCCCAAGTGCAGGACTCTACACTTGTCTTTGTTGAATCTCATGAGATTTCTAGTGGCCCAATCCTCCAATTTGTCTAAGTCACTCTGGACCCTATCTCTGCCCTTAAGCGTATCTACCTCTCCCCCTAGCTTAGTGTCATCTGCAAACTTGCTGAGGGTGCAATCTATCCCCTCATCCAGGTCATTAAATGATATTTCAAAATAGCTGCTCGCCAGGGCCATTCTAAATTATTCCTTCCCAGTGATCCTGGGGCTCTCAATCAAGATAGTACATCTACATTAGGGAAGCCTCGGACTAATTTTGAGGCTTCCCTTCAGTGTACACGTGCTATTTCAAAATTATTCCTGAATAGCTTATTTCAAAATTGATGTGCAGTGTAGACTTAGCACCAGTCTCATCAGAAGGTATATTTAGAATCTGTGTGACTCCTGTATTCCCACTCTCAAGAGTAGCCTCATTAAAATAATGTAATCGTAACAGCTGCTTACCTAACAAGAGATATCTCTATAATAGAGTGTGATTAGTGCAATAACCTGAATTTAGTCCCAATATTCATTAATTTTATAGGACTGTTAACTGATTAAAAATTAATCATGGTTAATCATGCTGTTAATAATAGAATGTCATTTATTTACACATTTTTGGGTATTTTCTATATATTGATTTCAGTTACAGCACAGAGTACAAAGTATACGGTGCTCCCTTCATATTTATTTTTATTACATATATTTGCACTGTAAGAAACTAAAGAAATAATCAGGAAGTTTAACTTTTACATATAGAATTATGTAAAAATATGCCCTGCATTTAAAAATAAAATGTAAAACTTTAGAGCCTACAGGTCTACTGGGTCCTACTTCTTGTTCAGCCAATCACTCAAATAAACAAGTTTGTTTACATTTGCAGGAGACAATGCTGCCCTTTTCTTTTTTAACAGTATCACCTGAATGCAAGAGCAGGCATTTGCATGGCACAATCGTAGCTGTTGTTGCAATATATCAACATGCCAGATGAACTAAAGATTCATATGTCCCTTCATGCTTCATCTATCATTCCAGAGGACGTGTGTCCATGCTGATGATGGGCTCTGCTCAATAAAGATCCAAAACAAGGAGGATCAATGCATGTTCATTTTCATCATCTGAGTCAGATACCATCAGAACAGGGCAGATATTAATTTTTGGTGATTTGGGGTCTGTAGTTTCCATATTGAAGTATTTCTCTTTTAAGACTTTTGAAATTATGCACCACATGTCCCTCTCAGATTGTAAAGGCATTTCAGATTCTTATGAGTGCTGTAGCTATCATTGGAAATCTCACATTGGTACCTTTTTTATTTTTGTCAAATTTGCAGCAAAAATGTTTTTAAAGATGTGCTGGGTCATCATCTAAGACTGCTTGCTATAACATGAAATATATGGCAGAATGCAGATAAAATAGCACAAAAGACATAAAATTCTCCCCCAAAGAGTTGTCACAAATTTAATTCAAGTGTTTTTTAACAAACATCAGCAGCATCAAAACATGTCCTTTGGAATGGTGGCCAAATCATTAAAGAGCATATAAAGGTTTAACATATATGCCAGATGAATACCTTGAAACATTGGCTATAAAACTGCCATGTGAATGCTTGTTCTCACTTTCAGGAGGCATTGTAAATAAGAAACAAGCAGTAGTATCTCTTTTCCATGTAAATGAACTTTTTTGTCTTAGAGATTGGCGGAACAAGAAGTAGGATTGAGTGTAGGCACTAAACATTTACAATGTTTATGGTTTTGAATGTGGTTATGTTACAAAAAAAATCTACAGTTGTAAGTTGCACTTTCACAATAAAGAAATGAACTGAAAAATATTTCATAATTTTTACAATGCAAATATTTGTAATAAAAGCAATATAAAGTAGTCACTGTACACTTTGTATTCTGTTTTGTAATTAAATATATTTGAAAATATAGCAAAACATCCAAAACTATTTAATATATTTCAATTGGCATTCTATTGTTTAACACTGTGATTAAAACTGTGATTAATCACAATTAATTTTTTAATTACATAAGTTAGCTGTGATTAAATCAACAGCCCTAATTTTTTATTTTCAAAGTATTGTTAAGACAAATTGGTTTATATAAAAGAAGAGAGAGATGTTGAATAATAACAGAGATTACCATGACTGCTATAGTAAATCAGAAAATAAAAATGGCACTTTAAAAAATTAAGTTGTCAGGCCTAAGTAACAGAAACGTAGCTTATTCCTGGGGCAGGTATATCCTCGGATTTTTGTGGAAAAGTTAAATATTGGGTGACTATAATTGTTTGACCTTTATTAATAGACAAAATTAGTAAAACATATATTAAAATATAAGAATACTAGGAGATTTACCAGATATAGCTTAGGTCCTTAACTCAATTTTTGGGGAAAATAAAAGGAAAATGTACATGTTTTATTGAAAAGATTTTTTTTTCAAAAATACAGTTATTATTATGAAGTTAGCTTTAGTCATTTTTTTAAAAAGCGAATTCCATCAAGAGTATTTTTTTCTTCTTCCCTATAAACTCCTTTTGTTCGCTATATTTAAAATAAAGGGTTATAATCCATTTGGTTTTCAGTAACATGGTCTTCTAGTTTTCAAACTGTAAGTATTGATTTAGCTGTGACAAAACAGAGCAAAACTTCACATTTCTCCTTTTTGTCTCTTTTTCTATAAGGTTTATTGAGAAACAATCCTATATTAGGTTCATCTTATTTTTCTGGCTTGTCTTGGTTCAGCCTCTTTCAACATTTGCTCAGTTATGTCAGTTTTGAGGACTGTTCTTGATTTGGTGATTCTGTCTCTGATTGATTTTATGAGAAGCAATCACATTCCAGGCACATCCCATTTTCCTGGCACAACCAAATCTTTACACTGATTAAAGTTATGATAAGAGGAAGCTGTATACCATTTAATTCTTGCTCAAACAGATAAATAGACAAACTTTTAAAAATATATATACAAAATTGAGAAGAACTTTTCATTAATGAATAAAAGTAACATTTTCTTTTATTACTGCTGGATCAAGAGACAACTATACACTGGGTATTTTTCCTTTTAAAAATATTTTGGTGACTTTGGTAAAATAACTGATGGTCTAGTTCTTATATAATGCCAATTCCTATTAAGGATTTAAAATCCCATTTAATTGGTTAACCACTTAAACATATTATTTAAGCAGTTAACTGATTTAAAAAGGGGACAGGTTGAGTGACCAGCCCTTTCACCGCAGGAGAAATT